CACGCATAGTATCTATTGACAACATCTGAGTTGATAGGCTTGGGCAATACAGCGCCATCCATCTCTGACAGGACCAAAACACCTCCAGATAGTACTTTACGAACCATGTAGGGACCTTGACAGTTTGGTGCGAACTTTCCTTTGTACTCGTCTTGATGAGGAAAAATACGCTTAAGAACCAACTGTCCAACTTCAAAATTTCTGGCTCTTACTCTTTTGTGAAAAGCGTGAGTCATTCTCTGTCTATACAACTTGCCATAACAAACAACGACCATTCTCCTCTCATCAATCAAGACAAGTTGATCAATCCGTTTGCTAACCCATTCGGCGTTACTTAATTCAGCTTCTTGGATGATCCTCAATGACGGTATCTCGCCTTCAACCGGCACGACTGCCTCTGTTCCATATACTAGTAAATATGGAGTAGCCCCAGTCGAAGTTCTGACTATTGTTCGATAAACTAGTAGGGCATGCTGTTTGTCAATCATTTTCCTCGAAATCTTTTTGATGTTCTTGTTGGCGGCCTCTACTGCTTCGTTCATTTGAGGGCGATAAGCAGTTGACTTTCGGTGAATAATCTTAAATTGTTTACTTATCTCCTTCATCTAATGACTGTTGAGATTTGCACCGTTATCAGTAATGATGGATTCTGGAACTCCAAATCTGCATATTAGGTTGTTGCGGACAAAATCGGCCACCACTTTCTTGGTTACCGACTTGTAAGAGGCCGCTTCCACCCACTTGGCGAAATAATCAATGGCAACCAAAATGAACCTGTGTCCATTGGAAGCGGATGGCTCTATAGGACCGATGACATCCATTCCCCAAGCTACAAATGGCCAAGGTGAACTCATAGCGTTAAGTTCGTGAGGTGGCACCCATATCAAATCGCCGTGCACTTGACACTTTTGGCATTTTTGCACGAATTTGCAACAGTCATTCTCCATAGTCATCCAGAAATAACCAGCTCAAAGAACCTTTCTTACCAAAGTAAGTCCATTCATGTGTGTACCGCAAACTCCAGCATGTATTTGTTCAATAAGCCTCGCAGCTTCAATAGCATCCACACATCTTAAAAGACCCAAATGTGGAGTCCTCCTATACAGGACTTCTCCATTCAGAAAAAAATTGAGAGCCATACGATGTATCGACTTCTTTTGATTAGATGTAGCGTCTTCTGGATACGTCCCAGACTTCAAGTACCTCTTTATATCAACAAGGCAAACCATCTGGTTCTGATTCAACATGTGAACAATGGACCGGGTGTTCCTTCAACTCTATATCCAGCGGGTCAATGTAATCAGTATCCGGATGTTTGATCATCGAAGCGATGGTGGCAAGAGCGTCGACTAATTCATTATATATTCTAGGAGTATGTCTAAACTCGATCTTGCGAAACCTTTTACATAGATTTTGCACATACTGTACGTAAGGTATAATTTTTGGGTTCTTCACAGCCCATTAACCTTGAACCTGATGAATCAAGAGGTTTGAATCCCCAATAACCAGTAACTCGTACACATTCATGTCAATGTCCATTTTCAAACCAAGAATACAGGCTTTGTATTCAGCCATGTTGTTTGTGCAATTGAATCGTAGTTTAGCTGCCATAGGATAGTGCTGACCAGATTCTTATACCAAGACTGCTCCAACACCTTTACCTTGGTGATTCGCCGCTCCGTCAATGAATAATCTCCAACCTTGATACGCTTTAGAAGTCTCTTCACCCACAAACGGCACTTCTTCATCGTGAAAATATGTCTTAAGAGGTTCATATTCTTCATCAACGGAATTTTCTACCAGATGGTCAGCCAAGGCTTGTGCCTTTATTGCCTTCTAAGTCACATACACGATATCAAACTCACTCAACAGCATTTGCCATTTGGCTAACTTTCCGGTCGACATCGCTTTCTGGAAAATGTACTTCAGGGGATCCATTCTGGAAATGAGATATGTAGTATACGAAGACAAATAATGTATCAACTTTTGAGTGAGCCACGTCAGAGCACATCATGTTCTCTCCAGCAAAGTGTAGCGAGATTCGTACGGAGTAAATTTCTTGATTATGTAGTAGATAGCCCTTTCTTTCTTCCCTGTCTTGTCGTGTTGACCAAGTACACATCCAAAGGCATTATCTGAAACAGACAAATACAGTAACAAAGGACTCCCTTCTCGCGGAGGATTCAATACTGGTGGGTTAGACAAATAGCTCTATATAGCGTCGAAAGTGGTCTTGCACTCCTCTGTCCACTTAGTCGGGGCGTCTTTCTTCAGCAACTTGAAAATAGGCTCACATACCACTGTTGATTGTGCTATAAACCGGCTGATATAGTTTAACCTCCCTAAGAAACTCATCACCTCTTTTCTCGTTTTCGGCGGAGGTAACTCTTGAATTGCCTTAATCTTGGAGGGGTCAAGCTCAATACCTCTTCTGCTGACTATAACCCTAACAACTTCCCAGCTGGGACTCCAAAATCTCATTTGGCGGGATTTAGCTTCAAGTTGTACCGATGCAAACGTTCAAAGAATTTTCTCAGGTGTGTCAAATGATCAGAATTCTCGCAGGATTTGATTATGACGTCGTCCACGTACACTTCAATTTCTTTATGAATCATGTCATGGAAAATAGTCGTCATGGCTCTCATGTAAGTGGCACCAGCGTTCTTGAGGCCGAACGACATCACCCTGTAGTGATACACACCCCAAGGTGTGATGAACGCTGTTTTTTCTGTGTGTTCTTCATATATCAAAATTTTGTGATAACCTACGTAACAGTCCACAAATGACTGCATCTCGTGTTTGGCACAATTGTCAATCAAAATATGGATATTCGGTAATGGAAAATTATCCTTCAGACTAGCCTTGTTGAGGTCTCTATAATCGACACAAATCTTCATTTTTCCATCTTTCTTGGCGACCGGAACGACATTGGCCAACCAGGTTGGATATTGCGTTACTTCTACCCATCGAGACTCTATCTGCTTGGTGATTTCTTCCTTAATCTTCAAACTCAATTCAGGCTTGAATTTCCGAGTCTTTTGTTTCACCGGCTCAAAACCTGGGTTGATAGATAGCTTATGAGATACGACATCAGTACTCAACCCCTGCATGTCACCGACTTCCCAAACAAACACATCACTGTATTCGGCGAGCAAATGAACCAGACTCTCCTTCTGAGTTTTATTCAGATAGGTGTTGATCTTAACTTCTTTGACACATTCTCTCCCAAATTCACCGTTTTTGTCTCCTCTAGATTCGGTTTATGTTGATTCTCGAACTATTGAAATTCTTCTACAACATAGTCTAGTTCTCCACTTTCTTGGTAGTCATCAACCTCATCGTTATTTGTCTCATTTTGCTCATTTAGCTCATGAAATGACATGACATTGGGAAAATAAAGTATAACAAGCAACTAAATAAATAGAGTCAAAATAAGGAGTCTTTCATTTAAAAACAAAAATGCAAACTTGGGTCATGACACAGGGCCATGTCGCCTTTTAAACATCATAAAGACAACTCAAAATTCGAACAATTAAGGAAAATGTAGAAATGATGGGTCTCGGGCCTCTTCCGGATGACCACCAATTTTAGAATGCATAAAATGACTCCTTTCTACCAAAGAGTTCGGGACATCAGGATTGGCGTGGAAGTCCAATTCTTCAGCATCTCCCCTGGTTCTGCATCACAAATGCCAGCTGTTTCGACCTCCTCCTCGATGATAGAATTGATCTCCTTGAAAAGGTCACAGATTCCTTCCCCACTGTTTTCAGGGTCGGCACACTCTTAGATCGAAAAGGACCGGTACAGATGCGGGATCAGTTTAGCTAACTCTTGATCCTTGTTCTTCTTCATCTTCATATCTTCATGTGTGGGGGTATACCCCAAACCATATTTTGATCCTTTAGCAAGGATCCGAACTAGGTCAATAATCCATTGGGAATTTCTTCCCAATCCAAAACCTGGTTCGAACCCATTCTGTAACATTACCGTGGCGATCATTCTGTTAATGGCCGGCATGGTAGTCTGCGGGGCCAAGCCCTCATCGGTGGCATTTACCAGCTCCACCGTGTAAAAATCTGAACATTGCGGCATCTCGTCAAATACTAGCTTTGCTTGCCTGAGTGGCTCCTTTCACCGTGAATAACTATCTCTTCATTTTTCCATACCAATTTCATCATTTGGTGGAGAGTGGAGGGGACAGCTCCAGCCATGTGAATGAATGGCCTTCCCAAAAGAAGGTTATAGCTGGTGTCGATATCCAACACTTGGAACTTCGCGTCGAACTCCGCAGGGCCCATTTGGATGGTCAGGTTCACCGCCCCTAATGTGTCTCTTTGCACACCATCAAACGCTCCTACATTAACCTGGTTTTGCTCTAACTTTCCGAGGTCAAACCTCAGCTGCTTCAATGTGGACAAGGGGCATATGTTCAAACCAGATCCATCGTCTACCAAAACACGATTGAGGACCTTTCCGCGGCATATCACAGTGACGTGTAAAGCTTTGTTATGGGATCTCCCTTCGGCCAGCAATTCATCATCGCAGAAACTGATACGGTGTCCCCGAATGACTTGGTGAATCATGGCAGCTACGTTATCGCTGCTCATACTTAAGGGAACGTACGTGTCATCAAGAGCTTTCATCAAAGCCTATCTGTGGGACCAGGAGCTCATCAGTAGGGCCCCCACAGAAATCTGGGCTGGAGTCTTCTCCAAGTGTTTGACAATGGAGTAATCTTTAGGCTGCATTCTCCTCCAGAACTCCTCGGCTTCTGATTCAATTATTGGTCTCTTGGCATGATCTTTCTCTTATCCTCCGAGAGCAAGCTCATCAGGAGTGTAGCATCTGCCAGATCTAGTCATGCCTTGGGCCACGGCCATTTTTATGACAAACTTGGGTTTGGCGAGAGTCTTCGAGGGCACCAAGGCAACAGCCTTCGCAGGTGTCAGAATAACGAACTCTCCCTTTTCCCTGACGCTTAAAGAAGCGACAGCCTTCTCCTAGTCTTCCTGTGCAACAAGAGTAATCCTCTTGGTTTCACACGCCTCTTCGTTTGTTTCTATCATGTTGATGTTTCCACCCCCATGATTTGGAAGCGGATTTGTATTGACGTTCGGCGCCGCATGCTGAAGGGAGACCACTTCCTGGTCGATCAAATCTTGGATCTTGTGCTTATGATTGATACAGTATTCAGTGTCATGTCCAACACTGTTGGAATGATAAGCACATCTCTGCTCCGGTTTGTAGAATCTGGAGTTGACATCCACAGGCTTGGGTCCCACAGGGTGGATGTATCCGGCCGTAGATAATCTTTCGAACAGCTTGGTTCTGCTTTCAGCCAGCGCGGTAAAGTTTCTGGAGGGATTCTTCTCAAACCTGGGGTGAGAAGGATCATACCCGCTCTGCTGAGGGGGAGGAACTTGTTGATAACTGCGAGCATTTGGGCGAGGAGCTTGGGTTGTAGGTTAGGGATTTGTCTGGTAATTTGGCACTGGAGCTTGGTATTTTGTGAGGGGGCTTTAATATGCTGGAGTTTGAATTTGATATGCGGGGGAAGGTGCTCGATAGCTTGGCTGTACATTAGCGCAGCTGGGAGCGACATTCTGGTAAAATGAGGAATTTGATAAGCTTGGGGGTAATTTGGGTATACGGAGGGAAAATTTTGGGGATTTGGGGGTCGATTTTGATATGACAAAATTTGAGAATCTGGATAAGCGGGGGACAGCATGGTAGTTGCCAGAAAGATTGGATTGTGGATGATAGGCTTGGTGAGACTTTGGTGGAGGCTTGGAGCAGTCTTGAGGACGCGGTGAGTTTTTGGGGACCTTTATTCCCCCGTATGAAATAGCGGCAACCTCCTCTCTCTTCTTCCTCACAAGTCCAGAAGATCCAAGCGATGCGGACACTCGGGCTATCTTCCCCGACTTCAGGCCATCTTCGATAGTCTCACCCACTTTGACTATCTCGGCGAATTTGGCTCCGATCAACAAAATGATTCTGTCGTAATATTCGGGCTCTTGCACCCGTACGAAAACCTCTATAATCTCCTTTTCTGTCATCGGAGGCCTCACCCTCGCTTCCTTTTTCCTCAATCTGTAGGCAAATTCCCAATAGCTTTCTGTGGATTTCTGCTTTATTTTCTCCAAAGAGTACCGATCAAGGACTATCTCGATGTTGTATGCAAATCTATCAATGAAATCTTTAGCTAGTGTTCTCCAACTGGTCCATTGTCGAGCTTCATGTGACGTGAACCATGCCAGGGCCTCACCGCACAGACTCCATCCGAAGAACCTCATCAGTAAAGGTTCATGTTTGCCGACTCCCACGTGTTGATCGCAATACGCTCTCAAATGCGCCATGGGGTTACCTACCCCTCCGAAGGTATCAAACTTCAGGATTTTGAACACTTCAGGCAGGTTCAAGTCTGGGTAGATACACAGTTCTGCGTAGCTTAATCCGGCAACATCTGTAACGCATTGCAACTCTTTCATTGCCCTCTTAATCCCTTCCTTTATGTCTATCTTTGCTTCTTCCCTTGCTTTCCACTCTTTCTCCTGCTCCTCGTAATGATCCAACTCGGAACCGTTCACCTCATGCTCAGCCGGGACGGGGACTTGGAATGTGGTTCATTTTGGGAGGGGTGGAGCTATGGAAGGGCTCGGGACGTTCTGTGCAGTTTGATAGTTTTGTGGATAGTTTTGAGGATTGGTATTTTGGGTTAAGTGGGGATGTGGTGTTTAGGGGTTGAAGGCGGTCGGATTTTGGTTCTGATTTTGTGGTGGTGGGGCTGTTTGAGTGTTCCGGGGGTGTAGTGGCATTTGTGGAGGGTTGTTTGGAAGAGGTGAGGGAGTTTGATAGGATACTGAAGCGTACTGGGGGTTTTGGGTTGTCATATTTATCCCAGATGGGTTATGCACCGGTGTCGACGGATGGTTCTGAGTAGGATCCAAGTTGGATGAGGGGAAGTACGTAGGGGGTCTTGTGTCGATAAAATTAGGACTGAATGCGGGTGGAGGCGTGTCATGCCTTCGTTGCATCTCGACCCTCATATCTGCTATCTGCTGCATCAGTTGCGCAATTAGCTCATTTTGTTCTGCCACGGTGGGCTGAGCCACCACAACATCTGTAAGGCTAACTTCATCATTGTTGTCTCCCATGGCGGTATTTCTTCTGTCTGAATTCGGTTCGGGGAAGTAATCTGCAGGACCTTTTGATTTGGTGAAGTAGGGGTGATCTGCCAACTTTTATCGACACAGATCAGTTAAAAGTACCTAAGAGGTGAAACAACTCAAAGGAAAATTTGTTAGTGCATATTCGGAGTACAAAATACATGATATCGCCCAGAAAGCAGATAAACACACAAGTCGCTTTGTTTGCGGATGTCTCAACCCATGAATGAGGACGGGAATATATTTTGAACAAACAGGAATTTGTTTGTTTGATAACGCTATCTTGGGAAGGCTGATCACGTTGAGCTATGGTCTTCTTGCAGCTGTTTTTCGATGCCCGTTGATCTTATCTTCGTATCTTTGAAACACGGGGAGAATGAAAATTTTCAGCGATAGGGGCTGGGCCGGGAAAGACTGCCTACGTATCTCATAAGGAGAATTCAGGCCCAACGTAGTTCGGGTTTAGGATGAAATCTTTCATTCATTCTTTCATTGCGATTACAAGGAAATTAAAGACAACATTGAAATTCCCAAGCGACGACAACATTTTGGTCGTTTCTCGTCCTGGGGCTACGTCATTCCTTCTAGACAGTCGGAAGTAGAGGCTTGTAGACGATTTCCTCCTCATCATCCTCCTCAATTACTTCATGGTCGGGGCCACTGTTATCTGCTTCCTGGTCACGGACGAGGTATTTTCTGCCCTTTCTGTTTCTCCGGGTCATCAATTCCTCATCTACTGATGCACTTCTGGCCAACAACATGGCAGTCTCAATATCTATCTTCACTTCTCTCGCCTATCCTTCGTGCACCTCCAAACGATCTTTAGTGGTTGAGGTGAATCCTAAGCAACATCTTGATCCTCTATTGATGGAGTTGAATGAATCGGTCATTAGTAAATTTAATGACTCATTCTTCTAAGATATTGGGGGGATGATGTAGTTAGGTATCAAGGTAGGTTGTGTGTGCAAGATGTTGATGACTTGAGATTACAAATTTTGGGAGAAGCTCATGGTTCCCTATTTTCCATTTATCTGGGTTCCACCAAAATGTATCGTGATCTACAAAAGGTCTATTGGTGGAACATTTTGAAGAAGCTATAGCGGAGTTTGCGCCCAAATTTCCTAATTGTGAACATTTCAAGGCCGAACATTAAAGACCGGGAGGGTTAACTCAAGATATAGCTATTCCTACTTGGAAATGGGAATATTTCAATATGGATTTGGTTGTGGGTTTGCCTCATGCCCAAAGGCAAAATGACTCAATATGTGTTATTGTGGATAGATTGACAATATCTGACAATTTTATCCCAGTCAAAGCTATTTTTTTGATGGAGGAATACGCTAAGTTGTATCTTAATGAGATTATGACAATGCACAGAATCTCCTTGTTTATCATTTTGGATAGGTGATCTCAATTCACTTCTAATTTTTGGAAATTGTTCCAAAGTGGGGTCGTTACCAAGGTAAAACTTTGTACCAGATTTCTTCCATAAATAGACAGTTTGGCGGAACGATCCTTCCAAACCTTGGAGGACATGTTGAGAGAATGTGTTATTGACTTAAAGAGTGATTGGGATGATCATCTACCATTGATTGAATTTGCCTACAATTATAGTTATCATTCGAGTATTTTCATGGAACCCTTTAAGGCCCTTTATGAAAGAAAATGTAGATCTCAAAGGGGGTGTTTTGAGGTAAGTGAGTTCGCTCTAATAGGTTATAAAGCAATGTATGAGGTTATGGAGAAATCCCAACTCATAAGGGATCATTTGAAGACGTCCCAAAGTCGACAAAAATGTTATGCCGATAATAGAAAAAGGGACCTTGAGTTTATGGTAGATGACTTAGTCTATTTGAATATATCCCCCATGAAATTAGTGTTGAGATTTGGTAAGAAGGGGAAACTTAGTCCCCTCTATGTGGGCCATATGAGGTTGTGAAACACATTGGAAATGTTGCATATGAGTTGAAATTACCTCTTGAGTTGGCTCTTGTGCATCCAGTTTTCCATGTGTCAGTGCTCAAAAAGTGCATAGGTGATATGGTATCTTTCCTTCCTGTAGAAGGTATAGAATTCAATGCTAACATTTCCTATGAAGAGGTACCGATTAAGATCTTATACCGACAAGTGAATAAGTTGAGGAATAAAAAAGTATCTTATGTAAAGGTTCTTTGGAAGAACCAACTAGTAGATAATTCTACTTGGGAGGCCGAGGTCGACATGATGTCCCGATATCCTCGTCTTTTTTCTTTCTACTTCTAGTCAAGGTTGAGGTTAGTAACTTCTCCTAACTTTGATTTTGTAAAGGTTTTTTGTGTGTTTTGAAACTTCTATGGTTTCCTTTCAATATACATGCTTTTGTGAAAAATCTATGTTTCATATGTGCCTTAAATTATATGTTCTTCATACTTGATGATACATGATTATATGATTTATATAGTTTAGTTATGTATTATTTATTGTGGTGAAATAAGTCAAGTGTGAAATGATGTGTTTCCCTTTGTTTAATATGTTGAGCTATATGAGAAGGAGAATGACATTCCACTTTGAAAATGTGAAATAATGAAATATGTGCATAATTGGTGTTGATGTAGATCCTACCTCATAATGATGCATGGTTGTACGGAGAATGGAGTGAATTTTCCTTCTTTTGTATGTTATAATTATTATATGTCATATGTCGGTTCGGCTGATAGTCTGGAGTCATAAAATCCAAAGAAAGATGTTAAAGTGTCATTCGAGGATGAATGGTCCCCAAGGTGGGCATATCATTACACTTAGTACATTCAATGACTTAATCTAGGCATCCATGAGTAGATAAACAACTTGACATGGGTCATAAAGATGTTAGAGGTCCTATTTCATGTTAGTTAGTTTAGTTTGGAATGATAGGTCGGTAGCAATTAAAAACCACCATGACGTTTGGTGAACTAGTAACCTAAACTAGTGTGGTGCTAGTGGTGATAAGATGGTTCAAAAAGGGGGTATATAGGGGTTGACCATGAAAATTTGATGGGAATGGACACATGTGAGTAAGAAGGGGATTAAGGGATCAAGGCCATGGGAGGTGTACCAACCTTAAGGGGCAAGCCAAAGCCAAAGGCCAAGGCTACTCCAAAAAGGGAGGCTACTGCCTAAACCTTCATGAGCATGACCACGACTCGTGGTCATGACCACAAGAAAGTGGGGGGCTCGTGAAGATGCCTTGTCCATGGAAAAAGAATGGTAACTTGGTCTAGCTACTGTCCGAGGCACCACGAGCCACTTCACGATTCGTGGTGCACTTGACAGAACGGGAGGCTGGTCGTGGTCTTGCCTTAGACACTTAGAGAATGGATAGATTTGGAGGGGCTACTTCCAAAGGCACCTCGAGCCACTTGACGGGCAGTAGTGCATGGTCACGGGCAAGGGGAGGTGGTCGTGAAGATTATTTAGAATCTCCTAGAATTGCACGTTGGGGGAGGCTATTGCACCACACTTCACGAGCACCACCACGATCTGTGGTGAACATCATGGCTCGTGAAGTGAGGTGTGAAGTTTTGACGGGTTTTCAATGTCAAGTTCAAGTTGGATTTCCATTTTAGAAGCCCAACTTAGGAAGAGGTATTTTGGGGGTTGACTATATATTGGTTTAAGTTCATTTATAACTTAATTTCCACTTCAAAACCTAATCCCAAATTTAAACCAAGTACTCCCACCTCTCTCTAAATTCTCTCTCTACCCCAACCTCCGTTGCAGAAACATTGAAATTTCAAGAAGAAGACCCAATATCCAAGTTTCATAATCACATTCGTGGATAAAGTCTTCCTAACGGTATGGATTCTTTCACTCTTGGGATTCCTTCCACAAGAGGTCCACTCAAAGATGATTTCAAAATCACCCAAATTCAAGGGTTTACTCTACATATGGGTTTCTTCTTAAATTGAAGTTATGGATCAATTATGAAGAATTATGATTTATTAGGATGGTTTATGTGTATAATGATTTGAATTGTTATGTTTCACTCGAATTCCCCATGGATCAATGTTCGTCCCCCAAATTCCATAACTCATTGATCTTTCTTAATGAATTGTTTGGAAGTGATAATGTCTCCATTGTTAGACTTGTGTTAATTATGTTATTATATTCATGGAATGCTTATTGCCATGTATTATTGGGCTTTTATCTATTTCCATGGATGTCTCTCTTCCCCTAACCCTTACCCGAACCTTTGATTTATGTAAGATGGCTAAAGATAATGAAGCTAAAGGTATTCTTGTGTGTGTGTGTGTGTATATATATATATATATATATATATATTTATATATATATATATTTATATATATAATTGATATAGATGTTAGTCTTGAAGGGATTTCATGGAGGCCAGTGGTATGACCTTCTAGGTCATGAAGTAGTTATTTTAATTTTGTTATTGTTGGATTATATTTTGTAATGTTGGTTAATTGGAGAATGAATGATGAAGTCATGGAGGTATGATTATGCTGTGAATTTGATGAATTTTGAAATGTTTATAGGTGTGTTACTACGTGGAATCAGAGCTAATTCTCATATACATATTATGATTATGTTATGAAGTCATGATCCCACATAATATTTGTTTTGATGAAAAGACATTCTCATCATAAAACCTATGAGCTATGTACATGTTATATAAGGGGTTAAGATCCTAGGACATATTTTATGAACTAATGTTTAAGAAAAACTTAAAGGTTCTTTAAAAAGGGAATTTATATTAGTACCAAGTGAACATGACAATGAGAGGTGTTCCTTCACAAAGAAAGGGAGATTTACACTATGTTCTCTCTCGATGTGGAAATTACTATGCTAATTAGCATAGAGGGTTTCTAATAATAACCTCCTAGGTCCTTAACTATGTGCCCCCATAGGAAACCTAGTTAGTGGATCCACCTAGATGTTTAATAATGTATATGTCCTACATTGGAAAATAGGATGCCCTCCTTTCAGTGTGAGGGGATTACATTGGATTCCTTGTATAGCCCACATAGTCTATTGTCATTTACGGCGAAGTTTCCCGAAAGTAAAATGAATGAACGAATGAAAGTAAGAAGATGAATACTTAGTGTAGGTAAGGGAATGGGACTTCACTTATACAAGTGGACCATAATGGGAAATCTAGGAGGTTTCTTTAAGTATACATGATATATGTTATGTTTTTTTACATGATGATGGTTTCACTTGATTACATGATGTTGGTCTAAATTGGTATATATGATGTTGACCACACCTGTTATGAAGTTAGATGAGGGTAAGTCATTGCTAATGGTCTCTTTTCTAGTTGACTTTGTTTATGTGGGGCTGTGGGGCTTCATATTGACATTGTACTAGTTGTCTTGGATTGGGGTTGTGAGTAAGGTGTTATGATATGTTGATGAAATGTATTCTAATAGTCATTGTTGAATGTGGCTTTCTAATGATTTACTCTTGAACATGAATATTGATATGGTTATTTGTTTTTGTTTTATGGACTTTTATATGCTTAGAATGTGCATAAAGACTTTTAAAAGTGTAGTTGGCATGTTTATACTAAAATGTCCTTTTGTGCATGTTTTCTAATGTTTTATTTTCATATATCCATACATAGTACATGTGGTTTGTACTAACGCATATTCTTTATATTTCTAGAATAATGTATGTTCGGGCCATTGAAGGATTTCAAGGCCAAATTTCAAGAAGCTTGGATAAAATCCCAAGTTGGTGAGTCCTCAAGTCCAAGGACGAAACATATCATTCTAGTTTT